AAGAACAAAATGACAGCAACTTGTCTGTTCCCCTTCCCCCAATTCCCCAGCACTGTTCCCATCCCCCCAATTCCCCAATAAAAATCTTAAAAAAAAAATGGTTCAGGTATAAATTTTATGTTATGCATATTTTAACAAAATTTTTTAAAAGTTAAAAAATAAAAAGCAAAAAGTACATAACTATTCAGTGTGCTTCTTGTAAAAATATGTAAAATATTTCATTTCAGTAACAATAAAAACCAGTAATACTAGCAAACATTATAGTGTTTCCTATGTGCCACGCACTGTCCTAAATTTGTATTCGGTATCTATTATTGCTGCATAATAAATTATCCCCTCACACTCAGTGGCTTAAAACAACAATTATTTATCACTGACATAGTTTCTGTAGGTCAGGAATCTGGCGACGGCTTAGCTGGTGGTTCTGGCTCAGGGTGGCTCATGAAGCTACAGTTAGCATGTTGGTCAAGTGCAATCTGAAGATCTGACTGAGCCTGAAATATCTGCTTCCAAGACCGGTCACTCACATGGTGCGGGTTGTTGTCAGGAGGCCTCAGTTCTTCCTCATTTGGGTCTCTTCACTGACTGCTGTACAGTTATCACATCATGCTGGCTGACCTCTCTCAAAGTGAACCATCCAAGAGAGAGATGGAGGAGGATGCCTCAATGCATTTTATGGCCTGGTCTTGGAAGTCACACAACACTTCTGCCACATTCTGTTAGCTAGAAGCAAGTTATGAAGTGCAGCCTATTCTCAAGGGGAGAGGAATTAGGTTCTACCTAATGAAAGAAGGGGTTATCAAAGAATCTGTGGACATATTTTAAAACACTTCATACATTCATTAAATCCTGATAATAGTCCGAGGTGGGTATTATCATTCATTCTCATGTTACAGATGAAGAAAATGAAGCACTGAGAGGCTGAAGTTCACACAGAAGGGGCAGAGCCAAAACTTAAATCCAGGCAGTTGACCTGGGAAGCGCTTTCTTAAATCACTAATATCAGCGTGTAGGGAAGAAACCAATTGAAGAAAAAATATTTAAGGAGCATTGACAGGACTTGATGACAGGTTGGATGTGGGAAGTGACAGCATCTAGTTGACACCCCATAATCCTTTGATTCTGGGAGACATGTATCCAAGAGAGGTAGGCTAGCAGAGAGGTTAAGAACAAAGTTTTGGGACAGAGTCAGATGGAATTATGATCAATTTGGCTTAAAGCAAATGATTTTGCTCCAATTTTTTCATCTTAAATTAAGCTGATAATATTACTTACCTGGCGAGATGTCTGAGGATTCATGGAAATTATGCACGCAAAAAGATCAGTTTCCGGGGGCTGAAACAAAGAAATAACAATACATGTAGATTTCAAGTCTACCTATAGTGAAATGTTATCCCATTGAATAATTTTATATAAATATTATCCTATTGAGATGTTGCCCCATTTTGCTAAAAAGTGAGGGACTAAGGGAGTAAGTTCCCTTTGGACTCCTGGTCTGGGCTGGAGAAATAAGGCACTAAGGTTCAACTCAACTTAGAAAGTGGGAAAGGCACTGCTCAGGAAATCAGAAGAGAGCCTCTGACTCAGTCATTCTCCTTGTGCCCGCTACATGGATGAGAAAACTGAAACCTTAGAGCTGTGCAAAGTCACAAGACAAGTTACTTGGCAGAGCCCAGCCTTCTAGAAGCGGATTTTCTGCAGATAAAGGGGCCTCAGTTCCTCATTTCGACCCCTTCCCCACACCCCTGTCCTTGCTCAGAATCAGCACTAAAGAAGAACCAGGCAGTATTTCTGAGAGGGAAGTTGGATTATCAGTCTCTTGAAGCCTGGGGAGTTTTAAAAAAAAGGAAGGAAAACCCCTCCCCAACTTCTTGAATATCTCTGAATGTGGAAGGATTTTTTTTTCCAGTCATGAGGCAAGATAATGCACTCTTCTGAGGGAGAGTCCCCCTTGGCCCTGACTTAAGTCTCTGGTTGGTGGTCCCCGTTGGTGGGGAGGTTGGAGGGGTATGGGGGATCGATGCCTATTTTGTGAAGAGAGTTATCTGGGAAATACAGTCGACGCTAAAACTTCCTCAGCCACACTCAAGATGGCGACTGCCAGGCCACGCCCCAAATGGCAGACCCGCGTTGTGGAAAGACGCTTTTCCCAAAATGGAGAGAACGTCCATCACATATTAGCCCCGCCTCCAAGGGAAGCTAGGGCCAATAAGCGACCCGCAGGGCGGGTGAAAGGCAAGGAAGGGCGGCAGCTGTTGCCCTAGCAACAACCAGGGAGGCCAAAAGCGGGCGCAACCTCGAAAGGATCGGAGCCTCAGATCTCTCGCTGCCTGGAAGGTCCTGGGAGAGACGCGAACTAGGCCTGGGAAGTCAGCGCTCGCGGAGAGAGAGACAGGTCAGGCCCGTGAACTCCAATACCCGCTGCCATTTTCGCCCCTTCCAACGGTTAGGTGTTCTGAAGTAGGAATAGCGCATGCGTATGCTTAGGGGCGGGGCCTTGGCCGCCCTGCACTTAATATGCATGCGGCTCAGGGAGCTGGGGGGAGCCGACGACCCTAGGAGGCGGAGCTTTTGCGCTTGTGGGCGGGGCCATAGGCCCTTGAGGCGGGGCTTTCCGCTACACTAAGAGGAAGAGGTTATTTTAGGGGCCCGCGGGGTTAGGCGCCAGCTCTTGTGCCCAACCCTCATTTTTTCGAGGCTCTCCTGGAAAGGCAGTTAGGTTCATGGTTTAGAACCCAGCTTCAGTGGTTTGACGAAACTAACTTGGAATCCTAGTACTGCCCCTTATTTGGAGAGCCTCAGTTTTACCATCTGTCAAGTGGAAATAGTGTACATCACAGGGCTGTGATTGTATTTTTCTCCTCTCAGGGCCATGGCTGAGGTGCACGTGATTGGGCAGATCGTGGGGGCCACCGGTTTCTCAGAAAATAGCCTCTTCTGCAAGTGGGGCGTCCACACAGGTATTGCTGGGCCTGGTTTATTTCCCCAGCAGACCCCCAGCCTAGCGGTTCCGCCCTCCTCCCTTGAGCCACTGGCCCAGTCCCTGATTCTTGTCTTAAATCGGCTCTCAGGACTCCTAGCCCTGACCACACTGTACATGTGAGTTTCAGGCTCCCTTCTTACCCCTTCCCACCCCATCTCTGGAGGCTCTGGCTCCCACCTCTGAACACCCCCCCCCCCGAAGGATATGGGCCTATAGGCTAAACCACACATACACAACCCAATCCTCAGAACACTACATGTACAGCCCTAGCCCTAGGGCTAGGACTTCATTCGCTGTCTTAGGGGTGCCCTGAGTCCCTCCTTGCTCTTAATTCTTTGCTTAACAGTCTCCATTTATTGAGTTACTGTACAATGGAAAATTTCCATCCCAGATTTACAGAGAGGCCACCCTCCTGTGTTCATAATTCTCTGAGAGAAGGTAGGAGCCCCATTCTGGCAGTCATCCACGTCCATCCACATGGACCGGGAGGGATCTCGGAGGGCCCAGTTTTCATGCCTCCCCATGTGAGACGGTATAGCCTGGTATCGTGTCATGCTTGGCTAGGACCGCCAGATCTGAACTCAAATACCAACTCCCCCACCTATTAATTTGACTTGACCAATCTTCAGTTTCCTTGTCTGAAAATGAAGCTAATAGCAGCTAAGAGGCAGCATAGCGTTGAGGTTAAAAGCACAGACTGCCTGGGTTCAAAACCAGCGGTTGCTTATTAATTTTGTGACCTTGACGCGTGTCTTTGCCTTGATTTCCCTGACTGTACTTGGAATAATAACAATTACCATCTACCTCATGGGGTGGTTATGAGGACTAAATGAATAACAATGGCACTTAGGAGAGGATTTGGCCTAGTAAGTGCTCAGTAAGTGTCCGCCTGGCTCATGTACAAATTGGATGGGATCCTGTTTGTAAAGTCCTTGATGTGTTGCCCAGCACAGATAAATGCCCATGAAAGGAGTGTGGCTGTTGTCACCATCATCTCTTCTGGCCCTGGGTCCTTTGCAATTCCACTTGTGGCCAGGGTGGTGGTTGAGATTCCCTGGGAAATTGTGGTCCTCCAGCAGAGAGGATCAAGAGGCAGGCTCTGGAGTCAGAACTGGTTTCCATTCTGGGCCTCACCATTCACCTGCTCTGTGACCCTGGGCAGGTGCTTTCCCTCCCCTTTTGGAGCCTCAGCTTCCTCATTTGTAAAGTGAGATATTTGTCCCTCACAGGGGTGTTGGGAAGTATTGTATGTGAAAAGCCTGACTCAAGGCCTGGTACTTTCCTCTCCTGGCCCAAAGGGAGCAACAACTCATAAGGTTTTTGTTATTTCAGGGGGCTGTTGTGGAGGGCATTTAATCCAGCAGAGAGCTTGGGGGGCAGTTGGATAAAGGGTTTGGGCTCTGCAGTCAGACAGAGCTCAGTTTGAGTCCCACTCCACAATGGGACCTTGGTCTGCTGCGGTCCTGCTGTACCTCCAGCATGGGGAACAGTGCTTGGCACACAGCACATGTTCAATAAATGTGCGTAGAAGGAATGGACAACTGACTTGACTTCTCAGAGTCTGTTTCTTTGCCTGTAAAATGGGGATTATACAGAGGGTGCCAAAAAAATGCATACACATTTTAGGAATGTGTATATAACAAAAGATGAATACAAGGCATGTTTGACTTCTGCAACTACAAGAGGTGCTCAAAGTGGTTACCATCAGCATCCAGACACTCCCTGATTACGGCAAACTACTGCTTGAGCAACGTTGACCATCTCTTAAAATGTGTATACATTTTTTTGGCACCCTCAGTATTAGTACCTGCCTCCTGGGTTCACTTATTTGTCCAACAGACATTTATTGAGCACCTTCTGTGTACCAAGATCTGGGTTTAAGGTCCTGGGGATCCAGCAGTGTACAAGCTTCCTGCTCTTCAGGGGCTCACAGAAGGGGAGACAAAATAAACAAGCAGATAAAGAAATGAGTGTAATGATTACAGATAGTGGTGGGTACTAGAAAGAAATGAGACGAGATAATATGATAGGGCCTATTTTAGGATAGAAGGGTGAGGGTGAGGGCACTTGAGCTGATCCCTGAGGGATGAAAAAAAGCCAGACATGGGGACATCCAGGAACAGAGCTTTCTAGGCAGAGGGAACAGCCAGTGCAAAGGCCCCGAGGAGGGAAACAAAAATAGGACCAGCGAAGCTAGAGGGTGGTGAGGGATGGGGAGAGTGATGGGAGATGAGTTCAGGAATGGAGGAGGTACAGGCCAGGCCATGCAGGGCCTCATGGGCTATGGGGATTAAGAGTCCCAGAGGGCGGCTTAAACTAATTCATCACGAAAGTGCTTAGCACAGCATCGGACATTTGGTAAACATTTGGTGCATTTTCGCCATTATCATCACCCTCATTAGGACTGGTATTATTATATGCCTTTCACAGTGTGTTTATGCTTTTTTATGTAGGGCACCCTTGTCTCCATCTTAGTCCTTGGACTAGGCCTCTAAATGTGGGGTAAGAATAATAACAAAATGATATCCAACACTTATCCAGCACTCACTATGCCCCAGGCACTGTTCTAAGTGCTTTGTGTGTATTAGCTCATTCAATCTGCTTACAAAATAACAAGGAATGCATTATTAATACACCCGATGGGGAGACTGAGGCAGGGAAAGGTTAACTTGCTCAAGGGTGCACAGGCAGGAAGTAGTAGTCCCAGGATTTGAACCCAGACATTTGGCCCCAGAGTCTACATTTTGTAACCCCTGCCCCCCAATGCCAGGGAGAAACGGGGTCCTACAGCCACAGTGGCATCCCCTTCCTGATGGCTGCCTCCCACCCCTCCCGGCCTCATCAGTGTTCTCGCTCATTGCAGGGGCAGCATGGAAGCTCCTGTCAGGCATACGGGAGGGCCAAACGCAGGTGGACACCCCCCAAATAGGGGACATGGCCTACTGGTCCCACCCCATCGACCTACACTTCGCCACCAAAGGCCTCCAAGGTGGGTTCCTAGCCTGGGCCCTGGGCCAAGGTGAGGGGAGGGGCGTTAGTACTCCATGCTGCTGAGACTGGGAACACCAAGTTCTGTCCCTGCTCCCCTGCCCTTTGGGTCCCTTTCCTAGCCAGGCCTGGCCCTGGAGAGACTGATCTGAGACTTCCCTGGGCTGGCTGTAGAGTGTGTCAGAGGCCAGAGGTGGAGGGAGAAGGGGGAAGGTGGGAACCAGGGGGAGAAAGGAGGTGGCTGTCAAAGAGACAAACCAAGAGAGTCTTCAGTCAGGAGGAAGCTGGGAGGGGTTATAGAGAGAGGCAGGGCTGGTGGCTGTTCTCAGGCAGGGCTCCTCAGCTGTTCAGAGGGGAAATGAGTGTGCGGGGGAGGAATGGTATCAGAAAATCTTTTCTGATGGAAAATTTGGGTCATTAGGAGTGGATTCCAGGAAATAGCCTAGGTAAATATGCCATATAATTCAACAGTATAAATAGTATTTACTGAGTGCCTGTGGTGGGTGATGCCAGGGAGATGTCAGTGATTGAGAGCCCCCAGCCCTGTCCTCACAGGGTTCACCATCCCATGGGGGAGACAGCTGTCCCCAGAAAGTGGCAGCCCAGAGCGGGCAGGGCTGGGATGGGGGATTGTAGAGGGCTTGTGGGAACCAAGAGGAGGCTCCTGACTGCCAGGGGGTTCAGGGAAGGCTTCCTGGAGGAGGGGATGGTTGAGCTTTGCTGTGAAGGGCCAGGCTAATAAGGCAGAGGGAAGGAAGGAAGAGGTTTCAAGGCAGAGAGCTGTGCGCAGAAGGCACAAAGGGTATAAAGTGAGCCAGGGCATCTGGAGGACGGAGAGAAAGCAGGACTACAGGGGTGAGGTGGTCGGGCACAGGCCATACAGGGCCTTGAATGCCAGGCCGCAGAGCTGAGGCCATCTCCTGACGGTGCTAGGGAGCCACAGCAGGCGACTAAGAAGTCGGATTTTGCCTTTAAAAGATGATGGATTGGAGGGTGAGGCAGGCGACTGTCCCTTCACTCTTCAGACCCCCCCAGACCCTCAGTGTGGGCATAACATCCTTGCCCCTTTTCCTGAACCGCTCCCCATCCCCCTTCTGTTCATCAGGAAGCCCCATTGGCTCTACCTTTGGAATGCATACTAAACCTCACCACTTCTCTTCTTCTCTCCCCTGGCACCCTGATCTGTCCACCCTAAACTGTCACCTGGGCCATCACAGTAGCCTCTTCACTGGTGTTCCCACCCCAAGCTCATAGACTGTCCCTCTGGAAACACCTAAGTCACATTTTTCTTGTGCTAAGAACCCTCTGTGTCCCATCTCTCTCAGGATAAAAGCCAAAGCCTTACCATGATCACAAGGCCCTGCATGATCTGGTGCTGTCCCCTCCTCCCTTCTCCCTCGCTCAGTGGGCTCCTGCCGCACTGGTCCCACCAGGCAGCTCCCATCTCAGGCCCTTTGTACTGGCTGTTGCCTCTGCTGGGAGCCTTGTTCCCTAGATGTCCACATGGCCCATTCCTTCTCTCCTTTAAGCATTTGCTCAAATGTTACCTCAGTGAAGCTTTTCTTGATCCCCCCCCCTTTCTAAAACTGCATCCCCACCCCCACCCTACCCACCTTTATTTTTCTCCAGAGCAGTTATCACCATCTGACATACCCTATAATTTGCTTATTTACTATGTTCGTTGTCTAGGATGTCAGCTACACGTGAGCAAGAAGTTTTGTCTGTTCTGTTCACCAATGTGTCCCCAGCTTCTGAAACAGTGACTAGCTCAGAGGGGCTCAGAAAGGAGGGTGAAATGGGGCTCCATCTCCAACAGCTTTGCCTACCGAGCTGAGGAGCTGAACTATATTCTGAGGACAATGGGAAACCTACGGGAGGGGGAGAAAGATGCTTCCAGATGGCAGGTGGAAGGTGGGTTGGAGCGGGCAAGAGAGAAGGAAGTCCCTGAGCCCAGAGAGGACAGGGTGGGACAGGGGAGGGAAGAAAGGAGGTGTCCAGGACAAGGCCCATGCGGCTCACTCCCCTGGGGACTGGGCCACCCTGGGATGGAGACAGAGAGGGAAGTCAGCAGAGGCTAGATCCAAAGGGCCTTGAATGTTGAGGTTGGACTTTATACTGAGGGCACTGGGGAGCCATGGAAGGGCTTTAAACAGGGGAGGAACAGGGATTCAGAAAGATCCCTTTGGCTGCCATGTGGGGGTGGGAGTCCAGAGAAGAGGCTGGGGAAGAAACCCAGGGGGAAAGGACTACCTGGGGTCTCCAGTGGGGATCAAGGAAGTGGGGCTCCAGAAGCTGGAGACCAGGCTGTCCCCATCCCTTCTTCCCTCCCTCCTGTCCTGCAGGCTGGCCCCGGCTCCATCTCCAGGTTTGGTCCCAGGACAGCTTTGGCCGCTGCCAACTTGCAGGCTATGGCTTTTGCCATGTACCCAGCAGTCCAGGCACCCACCAGCTGGACTGCCCCACGTGGCGGCCCTTGGGCAGCTGGCGGGAGCAGCTGGCACGGGCCTTTGTGGGTGGTGGGCCTCAGCTGCTGCATGGGGACACCATCTACAGTGGGGCTGACCGCTATCGCCTGCACACAGCTGCCGGTGGCACCGTGCACCTCGAGCTGGGTCTACTGCTGCGCCACTTTGACCGCTATGGTGTTGAATGCTGAGGGACCCTGCCTCGCTGGCCCCCATCCCCACCCTGGACACCCAGTGAGTGCAGGATGGCACAGTGGTCAGAAGCGTGGGCTCTGGAAACCGTCAGACCTGCCCCAAGCCAAGGCATGTAAGACTTCTGTCTTGGCTAGCACCTCAAGCCCAGTAGCTGTCCCTCTGGGGCCTAGTTTCCCTATCTGTGAAATGGAGACAGCAAGTGTGTGGGGTGCCAGGGCTTTGGGGGAGAAGAGGCTGCCTTGCATATGGAAATGTTCAATAAAGGAAAGCAGTTCTGACAGGTGTGGGTGCCTTCCTGACCTGTCAAATAGCCTGTGCCCCATCCTCCCACTGATACCCTCCTTCCTCAGACCCCCACCTACTGACAGACCTGCCTCCCCCATACTTTGCCTCAAACTCCTCCCCACTCTGAGTGCCACTCTTATGAACCCCCTCTCCTTGTAACTCCCCTTCCTCTGTGCCCCTCTCCCCACTAGGTCCCACATCAGGCTGACCCTCTCCCCTAGCTCCCCACTCTCCGTTCTGGGTCCCCTCCTCTGATTCCCTGTAAACTGTGTCCCCACCCTCTGACTGAGCCTTCCCCGCCAGGTCTTCATTCTCTCGGTGACCCGCCCCCCCGCCCCCCCACGCAGTCCTCAAAGCCACACGCATCCGGGTCGCCTGCTTTGGTAGCGCTCGGCCGCCAGGAGGCAGCACCCAGTTCGTGGGGCGGGGCCGGGGTGCCCGCCCCCTCCCCCGGGGCTTAAGGGACCCCCCTCAGAGCCCGCCCACGCGAGCTGAGAACGGTGGCCCGGCCCCCCGCATGCCCTCACCCCTGGGGACCACCCCCGCCCCGCGCGCTTCCTGGGTGGGGCCGGGGCGGCTTCAAAACCCCCCGCCGCCCCAGCCGGTCCCCGCCACCGCCGCCGCCCTTGGTGCCCCGGGCCGTCCCACCCCCCTCCTCCCACCGCGGATCCGCCAGACAGCGAGGCCCCCGGCCGGGGGCAGGGGGGACGCCCCCTCCGGGGCACCCCCCCGGCTCGGAGCCATCCACCGGGTCGGCTTCGGCCGGGAGCGGAGGAAGGAGCCGCCGAGAAGCAGCCCGAGGCCCCAGAGTCTGAGACGAGCCGCCGCCGCCGCCCCCGCCGCCGCCACTGCGGGGAGGAGGGGGAGGAGGAGCGGGAGGAGGGACGAGCTGGTAGGGAGAAGAGGAAAAAAAGTTTTGAGACTTTTCCGCTGCCGCTGGGATCCGGAGGCGCGGGGACCGTTTGGCTCGGCGCTGCCCGGCGAGGAGGCAGGACTTGGTGACCGCAAACTGCTCCCCCACCGCCTCCGACGCTTGCTCCCTCCGTGCCTACACGTCGTCCCTCAGGCGCCCCTATTCCGGACCAGCCCTCGGGAACCACAAACCCGACTCCCGCGAAGACTTGACCCCGAGACCTCGGACGCACGCCCCCCTCCTGAGCCTCCGCGCATCCAAGGACACTTCTCCGGGGTCTGGGAGACGGGATCTCTCTCAGACCTGCCTCAGCACCCCTAATCAAGACCACCCACCTCTGGTACCAGATCGCGCCCATCTCGGGTTTTTCCGTGGGATACCGAGAAACGACCCACCAGAGCTTCCCCTCCGTTCTCCGTGAGGGCCTGAACTTCCCCCTTCCCGCAGGGCCTCCTACCTTTCCACGGGAGAAGCCCCCCCGCCCCCAGCCCCTGTAGGGGTGGGGCCTCCCTCTTCCCATCCCAGCCCCGCTTGCGCTCTCGGCAGTGCCGGGGGGCGCCGCCTCCCCCATGCCGCCCTCCGGGCTGCGGCTGCTGCCGCTGCTGCTGCCGCTGCTGTGGCTACTAGTGCTGACGCCCGGCCGGCCGGCCGCCGGACTATCCACCTGCAAGACCATCGACATGGAGCTGGTGAAGCGGAAGCGCATCGAAGCCATCCGCGGCCAAATCCTGTCCAAGCTGCGGCTCGCCAGCCCCCCGAGCCAGGGGGATGTGCCGTCCGGCCCGCTGCCCGAAGCCGTGCTGGCCCTTTACAACAGTACCCGCGACCGGGTGGCGGGAGAGAGCGCCGAGCCGGAGCCGGAGCCGGAGGCGGACTACTACGCCAAGGAGGTCACCCGCGTGTTAACGGTGGAAAATAGCCACAGTGAGCTCGGAGGGGCAGGGGGACCCTTGAGGGGAGCCCCAAGCGGGCGCCGGCGTGCTGGGGGTCAGGGGAAGGAAATTACTAGCGGAGGAAACTGACTGGAGAGGACCCCCGGGGGGCCGCTGGGAACGTGGGAAGGAGTCCCAAAGAGGATAGGGCCGAGCTCCCCACCCCCCAGGTATCTGGTCTTGAAGAAGAGATAGTGAACGAAGTGGACTGCTTCTAGAAGGCGACCGGAACCTGCAGGATCGAGAGGGGGAGTCCCCCAGAGGGAGAGAAGCAATGGGGGAGGGGTAGAAAAGACTTTCGGCTGTTGGGTGCACTAGAGTGTGGGGGTCGTAGGGTAGGGGCTGCAGAGAGGGTGCCCGCTTTGGGAGAAGCGAAGACCCCAGTTCTAAGCAAGGAGAAGCAGTGGGGAAAGCTGACGCAGAGCTCAGGGGTCGTGAGGGGGGAAGATGAAAGGAGGACAGAAACGCTAGGTAAAGCGAAGCCCGGAGGTGCCAGGAAAATGGAGAGTGGACCAGCTTGCAGAAGGCCCCAGGAACACGCGGAATTGAGGGGGTGGGACAGAGAGAGGGGAGGGGAGGGGGTGAGAAATGCGGGGAAGGAAGGGGCGCGAGGTCGTAGGAAGAGGGAAGCTTGCGGGAAAGAAGTGGCGACCCCTGGGGGACCGGGGATGCCCGGGTAGGTGCCCTGAGTACTTCGCAGATGGACGTGCGAGGAGGAAGCCCAGCTGAGGAAAGCGAGCCCCCAGTAAACCTAGAATACCGGGTCGTGGGAAGGGGCTTACAGAAAGGAGAGACAGCGTGGGAAATGTGGACCGGGAGAGGGGCGGAGGAGAGAGAAACGGTGTCCTACTGGGATCCGGGAGCCCCCCACACCGCGGGATGGAAGGGAATGGGCTGAACGAGGAGTCCCGCCGTAGGGGGAGCGGTGGTGGGTGCGACTCTACAAGATTGGGGTGAGGAAGCCCCACGTGGGTGCCACGCGCGGGTGGGGGGAGGAGTTGCGCGTCCGGAAGTGAGGGGGAGAAGGAGGAGGAGGACCCCGCAGTGCTAAAGGCTGAGAATCCGGACCCCAAGGTGCCAGTTCCTCTCCGGGAGGCTGGGGAAACCCCAGCGTCCGGCCGCCCCTCCCGCCCTCGCTCCCTTCCCTTTCCTTCCCGTGCCCTGGGGGGCGGGGATCGCGCGAGGAGCCTGGGGCGAGACGAGGCAGGTCCGGTCCCCGCCCTCGCAGCGCTAGTGCCTCCGGCCCTCTTCACCCCAGCTCCGGGCGGGGCTACCGCTGGGCCAACCCCGTCGGCGCCCACCCGGGTACCCAGGCATCCCAAGTGTCCCAGAGGCTCGGGGCCTCCCTCCTTGAACTTTCCCTCTTGGGCAGTGGCCTTGTGGGGCAGTGTCCCCAGCCCCTTTGTGCGCCCAACTGGGGCACCAGCCAAATGACGCCCATCTCCACCCATGTCTTATCTCACCTTTTTTCCTTCGTAGCTTCACCGTCTTTGTAGAGATTTCTTGAACACTGATACCTTCCTTCCTCTCCTCACAGACTGTCTCCGTCTCGTCCCCGTACCCTCTGCTCTTTCCCCGTGTGCCTCTCTCAGTCTTCCCATCTCTCCCGCATTTCCATTAGTCTCTCTGTCCGTGTGTGGGTCTCCCAGTGTCTGTCTCGCCATCTCTTCCCTCTCTCTTTCTCCTCCACACTTCCCCCCACCTCTCTCTGTCTCGCGTTCTCTCCCTCTCCTCCTCCCCCTCCGCCGATGCCTGCCCCTCCTCTCACTCTTCCTCCCTATCTGTCTCCCCACCCAGCTCTATCCTTCCTCTGGGGGTTGCTGAGTAACCGCTGGGCCAAGATAGGGCTTATTGGGGGGGAGGGGCTGGTCCGGCTAGAGTCGGGAGGAGTAGGGAAAGGGAGCCCACAGAAGGGGTTTTCCTTTTACCTTTCTCATCAGAGCCTGTTTCCCATTTTCGCACCCGCACTGCAGAGGCCTAAAGCAGTTGCCCCAGTTGATCCAGAAGTTCCTGGCCTGTTCCCTCAACCCCAACCCCAAACTTTTCCTGGACTAGTAGACACTCTTCCTAAATTTCTAACCCCCCTAAGCCATTCCTACCTAGAATGCACTTTGCCTTCTCTAACCAGCTGAGGGATGAAACAATTAATAATAATAATAATAACAACAACAACAATAATAAATGTCATATTAGCAGGGAGGTGGCATGGCCCTAGCGGTTGAGATCATAGTCTCTGGGACTACACTTCCTGAGTTTGAATCCCTTTCTGCAGCTTCCTAGCTATGTGACTTTGGGGCAAATTTCTTAATCTCTTCGTGCCTCGGTTTCCCCATCAATAAAACAGGTACAATCATAGTATGTTCCTCATGGGGTTGTTGTGAAGTTTAAATGCAAAGTGCTTTGAATAGCACCTGGCAATCAGTGAGCGGTGCTTTAGCATACACATGAGAGTGACTACTGTGTGCAGACTCCGTGCTGCATGCTTTATCTGCATCATGTCACTTATTTCACACGCTCACCCCGCAGTCGTTCCTTGTTTTACAGGTGAGAATATGGCGCAGAGAGAGGAATTCATTTGCCCAGAGTTACATAGCACTTCCGCTAGGAGAGCCGGGGTTGGAAGGCAGGGAGCTTGATGTGGAAGCCATTTCCCAAAGAATAGCAGGAAACTGAGGCTTCAAGAGGGAATGTGATTTGCCAAGGTCACAGAGGTGGAAGGCAATAGAAACATGGTCTGCTCCAAATGCCCTTGACCGTACACTGCCATGTAACTTGCATTTGAGGCTGCAAGTGCTGGGGAGGCCTGAGGAAGCGGGGGAGTACACCTTTGGTGCCAACCTCTACTGAGTGGACCCTTTCCAGATGAAGTGAGAGAAGGGTGGTTAGGAGGAGGAAACAAATCCAGAGAGGGCAAGCCACTTGCCCAAGGCCACACAGCTAAAAAGTGTCAGGGTTGGATTCCAACCCAGTGCTCTTGGCTCTTAGACTTGGAGTGTGCTGGCTTCCCCACCCCTGCCACACTCCTGACATCTCCCTTCTCCACTCCTTCTGCCTAGAAATCTATGAGACATTCAAGCATAATGAACACAGCATATACATGTTTTTCAACACATCGGAGCTCCAGGAAGCAGTGTCCAAACCCGAGTTGCTCTCCCGGGCAGAGCTGCGTATGCAGAGGCACAAATTGAAAAAGGAGCAGCACGTGGAGCTGTATCAGGTGGGGCACGGGCCAGGTGGGGCAACTGGACAGCAGGTGGCTGCAGGGTCCACACAGGCCATAAAGGATGGAGGAGTACAGATCGTGGACTCATAGGGCTCTTTGAAACCTTCCGACTCCTAGCACCCTAGAACGCTAACTATTTAGAAGGCTGGAATCTTAGCAATTGGACTCTAGAACGCAGGACTCTTGAAAGTTGAAATCTTTAGAAAAGTTGGGGGCTCTCAACCTGCTCTGTCGTATATAGTAGCCACTAGCCACATGTGGCCATTTAAGTTGATTAAAATTAAATAAAAGCAAAAATTTAATTCCTCAGTCTCATTGGCCATATTTCAAGCAGCCATAGTCACATTTGGTTAATGGCTATTTTGGATGCTACGGATAAAGAACATTTCCATTGTCTCAGAGAAGTCTCTTGGATAGCTCTGTTCTAGAAGATTTGGAGCCTTCAGGAAGACTGAGAATGGGACCTCTGGAAAGGCTGGAATCTCTAGAAGATCATGTGACCTAGAATCCATGTTATATGGAACTTGCGACTTGATCTTAGATGTTAGACTGTTACAACAAGGGAACTTTGATGTTAACTTCTTGGAGTCTAGAAAATCCAGCTTTATGCTGCTGGCTCCTGGAATGTTCTGTCTAGCCCGGGAGAGTCATTCCATATGGATGTCAGGAGTCTGCAGCTTCAGGAGTCTGCAGCTTCGAGGCTTGTGACATGAAAGACTCCTGGACTTGTAGAACATTAGGCTTTTAGAACGTCTTAGGCTCATTGACTGCATAATTCTTGGGATGCTGTCAAACCCTGGAGTTATAAATGACTTCTACCATAAGCGCCTAGAAAGTTATAGACTCAGAATTCAGGGTGTCAAATTTGCAGAACTGTATGCTGAGTGAAGCCCAAGATGTCTGCAGGAGAATCTTAGTACTGTGGATTGTCCAAGCCCAAAGGGGGCCAGGCCAAGGCCGAGTGGCCCAGATGCCTTGACCCCTAGCCCAAAGCGCTCTCCTTCCCGTTTCTCGGGGCCCCACAGATGGATGTCTGGGAGGGGACTGTCCAAGGGCCTGTCATGGAGTGAGGTGTGCAGTCAGTGAACATGGGGGCACGTGGCATCAACTACCCACTATCTCTCTCCTATCATTCATCATTCCCCAGAAATCCAACAACAGTTCCTGGCGCTACCTCAGCAACCAGCTGCTGGCCCCCAGCGACACGCCTGAGTGGCTATCCTTTGAGGTCACTGGAATCGTTCGGCAGTGGCTAAGCCACAGAGGTGAGGATTGCTTGTCTTCCCCGCCCCTTTTTTGCGATGGGGTCAACCCCATTATTTGTCCTAGGGCTACCCTGCGTAGCATCCCCCTACCCTATGTTGGTGCCAAACAGCTGAGACCTGGCCCTCCTCCCAGACACTCAAACCTGAATGATTAATGGATTGATTCATTTCCTGAGCACCTGCTCTGGGTTGGGTGATTCTGGGGACACAGCAGTGACCAAAACAGCCCCATCCTTGCCCTCACATTGCTCATGGTTCATTGCTGGGGTGTGGAAAGGGGATGAAAGACCTGTAAACCAAATAGTAATGCCCTAGAATGGGCAGGCCTGGGATGGGAAGCCCAGAGGAGGTGCCTGCCCAGCCTGGGGTCAAGGAAGGCTTCCTGGAAGATGGGACTTTGAAGCTGATGTAGGAGGGATGAATGGGACCGGCCTAGGAAAGAAGGAAGGACAAGACTATTGGAGGCAGAGGGACACGTTGTGCAAAGACCCTGATTCTGGGGAGAGCCTGACACATCTGATCTGTCTGAAGGAAGATGGTGTCTGTCTTGTCCTGGCTGAGTCCACAGTGCCCATATCTCCTTTCCTAATCTCCCTCTTATTCATGCCACTATTCAATAAATGCCAGTAGGTCCCTGCTGTGTGCCTGGCCTTATGCCAGTGGTGCAGGGGACACAGTGGTAATTAAGATGGCTTCTAGGTCCTGTCCTCATGGGGCCCACAGTCCTTTCTAGACACCTAGGAAGTCTTGCCGCAGCCCTAGCAGGAAGTGATGACCATTATGATCAGGGCCTGGATGCGGGAGCCCAGAGAAGACACCCAAACCCATCTGGAGTGGGGGTCTGGGAGCGCTTCCTGGTTGAGGGTGATTCTGTTGAGACTCATGGGATATGTGATGATTTGGCCAGATGAAAGGATGGGGGTTAAGGAGCAGGTGGGAGCTGGGAGGAGTGCCCGGGGCAGCTGGACAAAGGCCTGTTTGGTCATTGCTGAGTCCAGAGCACCTGGTACAGGGTCGAGCACATCGTAGGAACTTAGAAAATCACTCATTCATTCCAGAAGACCTTCTCCCACAGCTGCCTGGGGCAAGAATCTGGGAGTGCACGTGCATCCCAGCCCTGCCTTTTCCCACTTTGGGCAAACCATCTCCTCTCTCTGTGTGCCTGGGCATCCTCATCTGTAAAATGGGAAGCTTTGGTGAGGATTAAAGGAGATAATGCCCACAGAGCATTTAAAACAAGCCTGGAGCCCAGTGTGCAATCTGTAGATGTTTGTTTTTATGACTGTTGGCCAGGCCCTGCAGGGAACAGAAAACAAGGGTCCCTGCCCCCATGCATCCTGCTCAACACTGAGAACAATGAGGGAAATAAATAGCCAAATACAAATGTCCGAGAGGGTCAGTGCTCTGGAGAAAATAAAATGATGTCACAGTGGAGGGCCTCTTGGAGGAGGTGACCTGTGAGCTTAGTGAGGCCTGAAGGCAAAGGAGGAGGAGGCAGCAAGAACCGGAGCTACCGGGTGCAGGGAGGGCAGGCAGAGGAAGTGGAAGGAGGGAGCCCCCTGGGGTTTGCTCCTTCCTCCTCTGCCAGGGCCTGGGCTAGTCACCCCCTCACCCTGGCTCCCATCTCCTTACTCCCACAGGGGAAATGGTGGGCTTTCGCCTCAGTGCCCATTGTTCCTGTGAAAGCAAAGAGAACAAGCTCGAGGTGGAAATCAACGGTGAGGCGCACTGCTCCGTCCCAGTGTCCTGTGCAGTGTGTGTGTGTGCGCGTGTGTGCATGTGTTTGTATGTGTGTCACCCCCTCCCCCTGCCCGTGCCCCCATTCATCCATCTGAGAGGGTGTGTATGTGTCTCTCCCCACCTCCTGACTCCCAAACTAAAACAGGAATCAGTATTGGCCGCCGGGGTGACCTGGCCACCATCCATAGCATAAACCGGCCCTTCCTGCTCCTCATGGCCACCCCACTGGACAGAGCCCTGCAGCTGCAGAGCTCCCGGCACCGCCGAGCCCTGGACACCAACTACTGCTTCAGGTGAAGACTGAGGCCTTCCAGCCTGGAGGCCTGGCTGGTGCTTTACTTGGGCGGGCGTCCCCTTTGGTCTGGGGGGGGGCTCAGGAGATGAGGTTTGAGTTCTGGAATGCTGGGATGTGCGCCCTGGAAGTCCTAGAATGTTGCGATTCGGTTGCTTTTCTTTTGCTGGTGTGTGGGAATCAGAGATTGTTAGAATGTTGAACACCGAGAACGTGGGAACTCAGCATTGGCGGGTTGCCATGCTCGGTTCCTGTGTTGTTGGCAGGTTGGGGTTCTAGAATGTTGGGACTCTAGGGTGCTGGAATTCAGTGTTAATGATTGAAATCTGACAATGTTGGACTCCAGGAGTGTTGGGATCCTAGAATTTGGGATTTCAGAATTGGAAGGTTGCTCGTGTTGGATTCCTATACCCGTTGATTGATGGGAGCCTCCAGTACTGGCAGATTGGAGTCCTCAAAGTTTGGGCTTAGAATGGTGGAATCCTGTGTTTCAATGTTTGAATCTACAAATGGAGTTGGGGAAAGCCAGAATATTGGTATCCTAGAGTGTTGGGGCTCAGGGCTGGAATGTTAGATTCTTGGAAGGCTGGGAGCTTAGAAAGTGGCAGCTTGCACCTCTTGAGTGATGGGCTCAGAGCTGTGGAATGTTGGAATGCCGTATTTGCAATATTGGAATTCAAGAATGCCAAGACCCTGGGCAGTTGGAATGTGGGAGTCCTAGAAAGCTGGAAATGCTGTTGGAGTGTTAGAATCTTGAGATGCAGTCTAAGAAAGTGGAAACGTTGGATTTCTAGAATTTTGAAATTCAGATCAGATCAGAATATTGCAAATGTAGAATGATAACCTGACCGTGTCCCTCCCTTGCTTAATATTTTGGTCGTGCCACTGGGCTTTGTCACATGCTGTTCCCCTGCTGGAAAGTCAGCTTTGCTCCCACGGTCCTTCACCACCGGGTCCTATGCTCAGCCCATCAACCCCAATGAAAGAATGAATGGATTGAGGTGTTGAGTGCCAATAGCTAATTACAAAGTGAGGCAGCTGGCCATGTGAGCCTCCATGGAAAGGGACACAGTATCTCCTAGGAAGTCTTGCCAAAAAATCGAACCTGAAGCTGATCAAGATGGTCAATCCAACTACCAATTTTCTAAAATATTGGGATGGTGGACCCTGTTAAACACCACCACAAGCGTGCAGTCAGCAACACCTAGACCGTGGGAAACCGGACTCGGTTTCTTCAACAAATACAGTGCAAAGGGAAGACATAGACAAAGAGATGGTTCTGTAGATTTTAAAAAGAATTATAAGAGATATACCAACCCGCTACAATGTGTAGACCTTATTTGGATCTTTATTTGTACAGACTCTTTAACGAAAAGATGTTTATGAGACAGTTGGGGAAATGTGGACTCTAGCTAGATACTTGATGATATCAAGGAATTATTGTTAAGTTTTCTTATGTGGTATTGTGGTTATGTTTTAAAATAGCCCTAATTTCTTGGAGATACATATGGAAATAACTGTGGGTGAAATGATATAGGGCAAAGGAAATGGCTCGGGGTACAGATAAATACAGTGAGGTTGGCCGGGACTTGCTGAGTGTTGAAGCTGTGTAATGCAGACATGAGGGTTCAATACGATATTCTCTGCTTTTGTGTATGTTTGAGGCTTTCCATAATAAAAAGTTGATCTTAGCTCAAGCACCATCTCCACTGGGAAGCCTCTCTCACCCCTTCCCCAGCATCCAACGTGGATGTGAGGCCCCTTGGCCTACCCTGGGGCTGCATGTGGGTTTCTTTTACTCATCAGGCCGCTGTTGGGTGCAGATGGACTGGATGGCAGAGGAGCTTTCCAAGAGCTTTGCAAAGGCCCAGACTGTGTGTATCGCAGGATCACCAGGAGGGCTTGTTAAATCTGGCCTGCTGTCTCCCACCCCGACCCCCAGTTTCTGATTCAAGGGGTCTGGGGAGGAGCCCAAGAATTTGCATTCCCTATAAGTTCCCAGGCTATGCTGCTGCTGCTCCTGGGGCCCACACAGAGATGGAGAGCTGCTGAGTTGGATAATAGAAGAATCACAAACTATTCAAATCATAGGCCCTCAGAACCCCAGCCAGAAATGAAAGATTATTCTGGACACTGGTTCTTCCACTTTTGTGAGTCCAGGACCCCCTTGAGAAGCCAAAAGCCAGGAACCTTTTTCCCTAGAAATATGTGCATACATACACACATATGTGCATATGGTTTGGGGGGGCTCAGGACCCTCCCTAAGCCCATACATAGACTTCCTGATGCCTCCTTGGTCCTCAGGTTATTAACATCTTATTTGATCCAATATCCCCCACATCTTTGATGGGGAAACTGAGGCCTCACCAGACTATGGAGGAGGAGCCAGCTTAAGGATTTCAGTTTCCTGACTCCCGTTTCAGGGCCCTGTGGCTCTTGGAAAGGTCTTGTCTTGCTCCAGAAGATCCTGTGTCATCACCGCTTTCCCCTCTGCTTGAGCGGACATGGTCGTGCTGGGCAGATGAGGTCACTGGCTCTTCAGTGACACAGAGTCGTCTGTGAACCTGGCCCCGAGCTCCAACCCCTACAAGCTATATGTAAGCAGGCAACATCCTTCCCTGAGGCTCAGTTTCTTGAGGCTTCAAATGGGAATAATAGTAAGGCCTGCCTTGCAGGGTTTTGAAATTAATTGATGAATTTTCTATTGATTACTGTCTGAATAGGTAAATAAATGCACATGGACCAAACCTAGAAAGGATCTCAGACACCCTCCAGCTCTGACCCCCCCAAGCCCTCTCTGAAGAGGCAGCCACTTTTATTATATTTGTGTCTAACTTCCAGAGAGTCTCTGCACAAAACACTCATACATATCCATACATATTTTTATTTTGCCCAAACAAATGGTAGTCTTATTTTTTTGGGGGGTGGCGGTGGGGTGGGGGTGAGGGAGAAGATGCATTTTCTTTTCATGTTTTTTTCTGATTCTAAAAGTAATACCGTGAAGAATTTGGAAAATACAGAAGGATCATCCGCCATACTTAATATAAATGTCACACAAATATAAATATAAAAGATATTACCCATCATACCACATGTAAAAAGTCACTGTCAACATTTATTATATTTCTTTCCAGTTGCTTTATGCAAAACAGAATTCAGATCACATGGTACTTTGCATAGTGTTTCTTTCACATGTTATGAACTTACAATATAAAGTGTTCTCACTGTCCCTGAGTCAAGTTTTTTAGCCAAGCTCCCTGCCCATCTCGGCCCCAGGGGCCTGCAAATAAAATGCCCCAGGTCCTTGCAGACAAGCAGAAACCTAGGCCCCAGCTCGGGAGGACTGGCCTTTGGATCTGAGCGTGGGACAGAGATCATGAGTCCAGAACAGTAGCGTCTTATACACCACTATTCTGCAACATGCTTTTTAAAAACCTAATATGTTGAGCAATTAATTTATACATCCAGTATTTGCAGAGTGCTTACTGTGTACCAGGCACTGTTGTAGCTATTGGGGCTATATTAGGGGACAAAATGGACAAAAAGTCCTGTCCTCATAGGAAGACAGATAAACAGATCAATCTAATAAATAAAAGAGCAGGTGGCTGTAAGTTCCAAGAAGAAAAATAAATCAGAGGAAAGGGACAGAAAGAGATATTGGGGACTGTTTACTTTTCCTATTCTGATTAAGAAATTTGTTTATTATGGAAAATTTCAAATGTATATACAAGAAACTAGGATAGTATAATGAACTCCCATAAACTCTCGTCCAGCTTCCACAGGTATTAAGATTTTGTCCCATTTCGAATACAGACATTTTCATATTTTATTGAATACTTGCAATGCTGTTGTTACAGAGTGAAATTAACAATCATTTGGATTGATTGGTATTTTGGATAGGATGGTCTAGGAAGGATTCTGAGGAGATGACATTCATTTGTTTGACTGTTTATTGAGCACCTACTGCATGCCAGGCTGTTCTAGGAGTTAAGGCTCCCTGAGTGAAGGACATTTGAACATACATCTAAATGAAGTGAAGAAATGAGCCAGAGTGGATATCTATGGGAATAGCAAGCCAGGCAGAAGGAACCTGTGCAAAGGCAAGTGCAAAGGCCCTGGGGTAGGACTGTTTGAGGAACAATGAGGAAGCTAGTGTGGCTGGAGTAGAGTGAGAGTGGAAAGGGAGTTGAGATTGGCCAGATCCAGTAGTGCCTAGTGGTTCATGGTAAGGACTTCCGGCATTTGCCCAGAGTGCGATGGAGACACGTGCAGTGCAGAGGAGCAACATGACAGTCTCTAGTCTAGCATGTGGCCCCAGAGGGCAGGGATTTCTGTCAATTTTGTTTGTACCAAGTCCCCAATCCCAGCCCAGCAGTAGATCAATGAACATTTGTTGCACATGTAGAACATGTCAGCACGTGTAGAGCTGCACTATGTTTTTTTATGTTCCAGTGTGTGGATGTCCCATGATTTATTTTGCCTTCCCTGTGGATGGTCACCTGGCTTCTTACAGGCTTGTTTTGAGTACTGCATGAGATACTTTTTATTGTGATGCTGTTAGCACAGCGCTTGACTAGAGGAAGTGCTTTATCAGTGTTCACTATTGTCATTACTAAGCCTGTTGTTGCAGTTATCGCAGGGGGTGCAAGAGAGATCAAGATGGAGACCGTGGGGGCGGGGGCAGCCAGGGTGACACACACACACACAGAGACATACACCGGGGGAAGAGAGGCATGGCCCACCTTTGCAGGGGGTGAGGGTGGAGTGGCTTGGCTGGTCGTCCTGACCCGGGTTCCTCCCGCTCTGTCCTCAGCTCCACGGAGAAGAACTGCTGCGTGCGGCAGCTCTACATCGACTTCCGCAAGGACCTGGGCTGGAAGTGGATCCACGAGCCCAAGGGTTACCACGCCAACTTCTGCCTGGGGCCCTGCCCCTACATTTGGAGCCTGGACACGCAATACAGCAAGGTGCGTCTGGTTCCTCCACCCCAACCCGGAGGTAGCAGGGACCGAAGGAGGGGAGGGAGAGAGGTCCAACCAGAGGAAAAGTGGGGAGAAGTAGAGACAGACAGGGAGATTGAGGAGGGGGTGATAAAGAGATGGGAGAGAAGCTAGAGACGGGCCCGAGACACGACGCAGAGGGAGATGGAGATTTGGGAGACCCACGGAGACCGAGCAACTTGCTGGGGAGCGGGGAGGAGGGCTGGGCGGAGGAGAGGCAGAGAGATGGAAGGAGACAGAGAGAAACGGAGAGACAGAATGAAAGGCAGGAGTGCACAGACTGATCTACTCAGAGTTAGGAAGGTGGAAGGAGAAAGATTACGATACAAGCCAAGAGTGGGAAGTGGGGATAGGCAGAGATGGAGACCTAACCCGGTGAGATAAGACGGAGGGAGATGGGGAGCGGCTGGCGGAGTGGGGGCACCCTTTCCGTGACCCCCGGCCCTGACCCCGCCCGCAGGTCCTGGCCCTGTACAACCAGCACAACCCCGGCGCATCGGCGGCGCCGTGCTGCGTGCCGCAGGCTTTGGAGCCTCTGCCCATTGTGTACTACGTGGGCCGCAAGGCCAAGGTGGAGCAGCTGTCCAACATGATCGTGCGCTCCTGCAAGTGCAGCTGAGACCCCGCCTCGCGCCGGCAGGCCCCGCCCTCCGGCAGGCCCGGCCCCGCCCCCCGCCCGCCTTGCCGGGCTGTATTTAAGGACACCGGCCCCTCCCCCCCAGCCCACCCCGGGGCCTATTAAAGGTGGAGAGAGGACTGGGGTTTGTGTGTCGTTGGGCGCCTGACTGAGTCTCCCCGCTGACGTTCTGGGACTCCCACTCCATCTGCTTTCTGACTCTCTCCATCGTTCATTTGCCCCTCCTCAGGCACTTACTGAGCATTTCTTACAATCCATGTGCTCCTGGTGAACACTAGATTTATTTATTGAGCACCTTGAGCCTGTACTAAGTGCCTTAATTCATTTAATCACCATAACAAAACTCTGAGAGACAGGGACTCTCCTAACATCCACTTTAAAGGTGAGGAAATTGAAGCCCAGAGAGGTTAACGGAATAGTTCTTGCCCACCAGGAACCTACTTTCTGGGGAGGAGACAGACATGGTAAGTGGCACAGAAGACAGGAAAGCAGGATGGAGTGAGAGATGGCTTTGGAGAGGAGGGAGAGCTTCTCAGAGGAGGTGGCATTCGGGACTTAAAGGCAGCCTGGCGGAGTGTTCTTGGTAGGAGGACAAAAGAAAAGGACTACAAGTAGGGATGAACTTGGGGTGAGGGAGGGAGGAACAGGGCCAGTGTGGCTGGAAGGGAGGGGTAAGGGGAAGGGTGTTGGGAGCTGAGTCAGATGGTAACACTCACAGGCCAGAGTAATAACAATCCTCCATGCCAGGTATGAATCTACCAGCTCGCTGCATTTGCCCCACAGTCCAGCAGAGCAGGGATTGGCAAACGACAGCCTGCAGGCAAATTCTTAACGCGCTGCCTGTTTTGTGAATAAAGTTTTATTGGAGCACGGCTGTGAATCAGATTGTCTCTGGCTGTTTAGTGCTATAAGGGCAGAGTTGAGTAGAAACTGCAAAATAAAAAATATTTGCTATCTGTCCCTTTGTAGAAAAAGCTTGCTATTTCCTGCGATAGAGACCACTGTACAGATGGGAATACTGAGGCACAGTGAGGTTAAGTCATCGGTTAAGGTCACACAGCTAGCAAGCTGCAGAGCTGGGACTTGAGAACGCAGGCAGTTGGGAGTTCAGGGTCTCTGCACATAATTTCTGCACTTGTACGGCTTCCCAGACCACATCAGACCTGTGGGAACCTGTGAGAACTTGTTCTCTGGGGAAGATGGGAGCCATGACGGGGTTCTGAACAGAGGAGAGGCGTGATTTGACTTAGGTGCTCAGAGGGTCTCTCTGGCTGGGGCTCAAGAGTACACTGAATGGGGGTGGGGTGGGGGACACACAGGTGACTGCAGGGAGACCAGTTGTCCAGGCGAGAGATGGTGGTGCCCTGAGCCACAGCAGGTTTCTCTCTGTGCCTCCTTTCTTCCCATCTGCTGTGGTCTTGCTTGTGAATTCTCTCCTGCTTCCTCTTTCTCGCCTTCTTGGTTTCCCCTCTTCCTCCCAGGTTTCAATTTCCCCCATCCCTCTCCCCTGCCCTTCCCAGGAGCCCTGACCTGTTCTTTTGCCCAGCGGTGCCCTGGGGGAGGATGGTGTGAGTACCCATGTTCCTTTGCCCTTGGGTGGCACTAGGTTTGGATGAGTGGGCCCTGGGGCTCTCCCAGCCCGGCCCAGCCCAGGGTAGCAATGTGGTTACTCCTCCTGCCCCAGGTCTGGGAGCCACAGAAGGCGGGGGTGGGGTGGGGGCAGGAGGAGTTCACTATGCAAGGACTCGCAGCCAGTCACCAGCCTCATGTATGGAGACACTTTTGAAAGGACACAGTGACGTGGACTGTAGTCACTGCAGCCCCATGAGGACTTGGCACATGTGCAACATACATTCACACTTCACACAGAGAGGTTCAGGTATCGACAATGTCCCACAGCCACGCAAACACACTCACCTCTCACAGCCACGGTGGACACACACACTCCTGCAGGACCCCTGGCGGCAGTCAGAGCCCACACTTGCCATCCCATCTCACACACACAATCCAGCCTTGGAGTTTCACTAGGACCTGATACAAGCAGAGACTTCAATAAGGACACAGCAAAACACAATCACACAAATATGTTCTGAAGGGTTGCGGTCGCAACCCCTACACACCAGACAGATTCAGAGACAGTGCCACATAAAGACACACACCTCACAGCATCGGAGCCCCATCAGGAAATGAAACAGAGACTTGGGCAGGGACCCACCGGCAGTTACACAAACATCCTCCATGGGGTCACGGTCACAAACAGGCATACTGCGCATGCACACGACCTGACCCGGCACAGTTCCACCCAGACATACACCACACACGGAGATCTGACACGTCACGGTCACACAGACTGCCAGGTGGTTGTGCCCACTCAGTCTGACATTTCATGTCCCCACAGAGTCAGGCCTGGGGAGTCCCACACAGCCCTGTAGACGGCAGCTGACCCGTCATAGCCAGACACACTGTCACACCCCGGGTCCCAGACGGAGCAGTCCTACACTCTCAGACACACCCCCAGGATCGCGGCCCTTACACGCCCAGCTCGTGCCTGGGCCTCAGGACAAGTCCTGGCTACAACCTGGGGATTCACACTCCACTAGTCTGTCGCCCGAGCTGAGCCCTAGCCACTCCCTTGTGACACCCCGCCCACCTGCCCGCTGCTGCGGAAGGAAATTTGCGGGCTCAGCACCTTCCTGCCCCGTTCGTGCTCCCCCTGCCCTGCCCCCCACATCCACGTCTTTGCGGGTGGCCTGGCCCTGTTGGGACAAGGCAGCTCAAGCGCTCAGCTAACTGCAGGGGTAGGACCAGGAGTAGGGGGCGCCCGGCTCCCCTCCCTGGCCTTTGCAGGCAGCCTCAGCAGGGAGGGAAATCCTGGGGGGAGCCTGGGTTCTGGCTGGAGCCCCAGCTTCCCATCAGGCCCCCAAGGGGCAGGAAGCAGGGCCAGAAGAGGTCTTCCTGCCCCCTGCCCCAGACAGACCTAGGACACGGGTCAGTGGGAGAGAGGGTGGGGGAGAAGAGAGCGCCCCTGCCCCCTAAGTCTCTGGATATCCAGAATGTTGGTGTCTCTTCTGTTTCTAATGTGAGTTTGAATGTATCTGGGACCCCAATGTGTGTGTCTAGCAAGGGGGTGTCTAACACACCAGCTGTGTGCCTGCAGGCTGTGTTGGGTGTCACTGGGGATTTTCAGTGTGCATGTTCCCAACACACATTCAGTCACTACCACGTGCTGGTGAGTGCTGCGTTTCTGGTGTGCGTATCTGCTGTCCACATTGGTGTGCGCTCTGGGCTCTGTGTCCTGACACATGTGACTCGGCAAGCCTGTGTGTACAAGTGGTTCATATACCTGGGGTGTGTTGTCTGAATTTTGTCAACATCTTTGTTGTTGTTCTCCAGGTGTGAGTTGGTGGGTGCATCCTCAGTGTGAGTTTGACTTGAAATGTGGTTGTTTTGTGTGTATGTTTATGGGCCTGTGAGAAAGGTGTTTCCAGGAAGTGTTTTGTGTTTCTTACACGAGCTGTGTTTTCAGTGTGTGTGTGCCAGTTCCCAGTGTTTGTGCTGCTGGTGTTCTGAGCATGTCTGTGTGTACGGGGTGTCTCCAGCAAGCTTGCTGCCTGTCTCCCGCGGTGTGTGTGTGCGCGTGTGTCTGTTCATTTCAGGAACTGGTGTTCTCAGCCTCTGTGGGTGTCTGTGAGCAGGTGGTGTCTGTATTTTGTGTCCCCACATGAGGGCTGGTGACTTCAGTGTGTGAGCAGTTGTGTGGGTTTCTATTTTGCATTGCCTTCAAGGGCGTTCTCAGCGGGGGGGGGGGTTGTGGGCTCATGTTCATGAGCATTTTGTGCTGGTGTTTCCAGGAGAGGGGGGCATCATGCATCCACAGTGAAGCCGCTGGCATCCCGGGCAACGCGCCCGGTGGCCTCCGTGCTGAGTGGAGGCTGCATCTGTGATGCGTCCCCTCGCCGGCTGGTGCCACGCTGGCTCGGGGCTGGCTGTGGCGGGCAGGGCAGGGCAGGGGCTGCGGTGGGCACTGGACCCGCGCCCGGCCCTTGGTATAAATATCCTGGCCTGCCGGCGGCGGTGTTTACTCGGCCCCAGCCCAGGGTGGCGGCAGCCGGCAGGTCCTGGGGGCGGGGGTGACCAGGCCACAGCACAGACACTTCCTTCTGGCCAGACAGGCCGCAACCTCGCTGCCCTTTCCCGCCCCCTCTCTGGGTGGGTGGGGGCGATCCCTCATTCTGGGCTTCCAGGGGCCACCAGTGAACATCTGACCTGGACAGCCCCTCTGGGCTTCCCAGGGTCTGGGAGCCAGAGAAGAGGGGAGAGACCGAGATGGGGCTAGGGGGGCAAGCCAAGACAGCAAGAAGAGGGATAGGAAAAAATGAGGGTGAAGAGGAGCATGACAGACAGCGGGAGGGGAGGCCCTGACAGAGAAAGGCAGGGGGAAACGGGGTTACCAGACAGTAACGGAAGCTCAAACCTGAGATGGAGGGAATGACAGGGAGGGAGGGAGAGGAGAGGAGGCAGAGGCCCTGGAAGAAGCGGGAAGAGAGAAGGGCCTGAGGGGAGACAGTGATGGCCAGAGATGCAGAGACAGAATGACAGGATGAGAAAGGAGGGGCGAGGGTGGGGCCAAAGGAGACAGGACAGTGCAGGTGGGCAGGCAGTGGAGAGGGGGAGTCAGTGTCAGCTCTGGCAGAACACAGGGAGATGTCAGATGTGGGGGGTGGGGACGGCAGCCAGGACCAGGACACACAGGAGACACGGGGGTGGGGACCGGATGTGCACAGAGGGGCTCTCTTCAGACTGGGCCCTCCCTCCCTGACTCATCCTCTCCGCCCACCCTAACCCCAGACCTGGGAGCGAGGGACAGGACACTCGGACACCTCCAGGTTGCAGCAGGCTGTGACCCGGGGGATGTCTCTCTGACTGGCCCCACTTCCGTCTCTCAGCTACAGATGCTCTTCTCCACCATCTGACTAACCCTAATTCTGACCTCAACTGCTGTGTCTCATCATTTTTAAAAATTATATAACAAATTTATGTATGGCAAAGTGTGTCACAAATTTAATGATCAAATGATAGATTGGCGAAAAATGTAGTAAGGCCTGATGCCTGTATTATGAATGAGCACTCACAACCTGAGGCCATAAGCACAGTAAGCTCCGTGAGCCTAGCTGGCTGGCTGGTCTTGGGCCTCTGGAAGGCAGATGATCAATACCGCTAGCACGCTGCACACAGGCTCGACTCAGTGATTCAAGTACTGAGTTCTCCATCATGGTGATTTAGTCACACCTGTGTGGAGGACAGTGCCTGGCACATGGGGAGGGCACCGAAAGTGTTAGCTGCTGTCCTTCTCAACAGCTAACTCTTCTCCAGTCTTCCCATCTGAGCATGTCTGTGGCTTTGTCTGCTCTGGGGGGCCTGATAGCAGACAGGCAGGCTGGTAGAATGGTCTCTAGGACTTGAGGTTCTAGACCAGCATCTCCGCCTCTGATGACCACGCAGCCTGGACTGGGCCTCCCTTGACCTGTCTATGAAAAAGAGCTGAGTCCCGAGTTCACAGGGAGGATTCAGTACAGTGTCAGGCATCTCCACTGGGCCTGGCACAGGATAAAACTGCTCAGAAACCGGAACTTTCCTTTTTTAATAGCCTCATTTAATAGCCTGGATATCCCTTGGCCCCTGTCCAGTTCTCACTTTCTGTGTCTGGCTCTAATTCTGGTTGACCCAGAGGGCAGAGCTGAGGCCTGGGGTCAAGAGCCACGGGCCCAGGCCTCGGGGTCTACCCTCACTCTGGGCCACATGCCCAAGGAAGTGGCTTGGAGGGTCCTTCAGGCTTGCCCGTGGAAGTATGCCACCACTCGGGCGCACAGGACTGAGGCATCCCCAGACCCCAGCTCCCTGGCCGTACCTTTCCCCAGCAGCCGGCCCTTTTCCATGTGTGTCTACCGGGGGAGCGTGAGCTGGGTGTGGGGGCATGGGAAGGCGGGACGCCTGGGTTCCCACAGGCCGGTGGCTGAGTCACTAGGCGGCCATCTGGCTCCCATTAGCCTGGGGCGGCAGGGGGCTCCGTGGGGCGGGCCCTGTGGCTGGCTGGGGGCAGAGACTAGGGGCAGGCTGTGTGTGGGATGACTCAGGACCCATGATAACAGCCTGTGCGTATTTGGGGAGTGTAAACAGGAGAGGGAGAAGGAGGTGGAGGAAATGAAGGAAGGGAAAATTGTGGCTGGGCAGAGGGGGGCCATGGAGCTGGGAGGGGAGAGTCCCCACTGCTTGCACACCTCCCCCCACACGTAAGCTGGCAGGCTGATGATCCCCAGTGCTGCCGCTGCCCGCCCCTCCCAGGCCTGGGTCCTGATGGAGAAGTGACAGCCGCCGCCACCCCTGGGGTCTCCCAACTGCTTGCAGTGAGGCCGCACTACTCAGCAGTCAGATGACATTGAAACCCAGAGATAAAGCCTCAGAGACAGAGACAGCGAGATGGAAATGAGCCAGCAGGAAGAACCACAGGCCCACAAGGCTGAATGAGAGAAGGGAAGGTAACAGAAGCAAGGAGAACTAGAAACAAACAGGACAGGTGGAGGATGACAGAGGCAGGGACCAGGAGGGGAGACAGCTGCTCTGGGGCCCAGGGGTTAGCACTGACAGCTCAAAACTGACCCTGAGTTGACTGGTGTCAACCTGGCTTGCTCTAGCTACGAAGGGCCCCAAGGGCCTTGGTTAAGGGGAAGACATTCACCTTGGGCCCTGTCATGGGGACGCAGACCAAGGCACAGAGGAAAAAGTGAGATGGAGAGAGGAAGAGAGAAGTGGAAAGCAGGAGACAGAAAGGCAGGGAGAAAAAGAGACAGAAGCCCAGAGAGACAGCAAGGAAGAGGGAGGCAGGGTTGCGTGGGTGGGTGGGGGGCAAGCTAACCCCAGACATGGGGAGGGACAGTCTAAGATGGCACCAGACCCCATGAGGCTGGTGGTGTGGGTGGCTGCACTGGGACCCCTGCAAAAAGTCACTGAGCCAGCCTGTGATCAGCTGCTTTGTTTGTGTGGGGGCAGGGCGGGTGGCCGGGCCATCAGTCCCCGTCCAGCTCTGGGCTAGGCGCGTCCTCAGGCTCCTCTTCATCGAAGTACCGCTCCTCCTCGTCTCGGGCCACGATGTCCAGATTGTCAAAGTCGGGGTTGTCGTCCACGGTGCTGCAGGGGGAGGGGGCTGTCAGAGGCGGGCTCTGCCGGGGGCTCCAGCCCCCTTCTCTCTGCTCCTCACCCTTTGGAGGAGCTGGGGACATGGCTGGGGCCCCCTGAGGCCAAAGGCCCTATGGGCCCCATGCTGGCAGCTGTAAGTCCCAGCTGACCCTGGGAGGGGGCTGTTGGGTCTCTTCAGGGCTTCAAACAAAAGGCAACATTTTCCAAATCAGAGATTTTACATAAAAACTTGTTTTTTTTCTGGAAAAACTGGAAGATGTGATGTAACATACAGGCCCACGTTCCCAAGGCAGTGGTTCTCAACTAGGAAGTCTGCCCCCCAGGAGACATTTGGTGATAACTGGAGACATCTGGTTGTCACAACTGGAGGGCGGCTATGGCACCTCGCGGGTGGAGGCCAGGGATGCTGCTCAATATCCCGCTGCAGACAGGACCGCTGCCACACAAGGAACCGTCGACCCTAAGACCAACAGGGCCAAGGCCCAGAAACCCTGTCCTAAGGCGACAAGGGATCCTAAACTGAGGAGCCAGCTCCACTCCCAACCCTCCCCTGGCCCCCATCATGCTCACTTCTGTGCAGGAGGCCCTGTCCAGTCCGCCTGCCCCTCCGATGAGACCTCCTACCCCTCACCCCTCCTGCCAGGAACGCTCTTCCCCGGATATTTATGTCGCTTGCCCCTCACTTCCTGCAGGTCTCTGCTCAAAGGTCACTTGCTCAGTCTTTCCTGGCTACCCCATCCCTTTCCCCATCCCTGACTTCATTTTTCCTCATGGTCCATCACCACTAGATGGTAGATGCTTCCTTGTCTTCCTCGCTACAGTGGGACCCTCTTCAGGGCAGGGAACCCTCTCGTGGCTTTTGTTCCCGGCTTCATTCCTCGAGCTGGGACACAGGTGAGGTACCCTTTGGCCCTGCTGCCCAGCAGCGCCCTCTGGAGAGGAGACCGCCTTCAGTCACCACCACTACCCATTCTACAAGCCAGGCCCCATTTCCTCGTGGGCTGTATGATGGCAGTGGTGCCCTTGAGGGCTCCCGACGGCCTAGGCACCCTGCTCATTGTTCTGTGGGCACTCAAGCTGAGGGCTCGCCCCAGCTAGAAGTGGATCAGCCAGACCTGACTCCAATGCCAGGGGATTCCAGATGGGGCCAGCCATCCTGTCACTGGGTACTGCTTGGTGCAGTGGCAGTCACGATTCCCATTCTGGTGATGTGCCCCAAGGGTCTGCTTGATCACGTGGCATCAGGGCTGGGTTTGAAACCCGGGCCCTCTGCTGCCACATCGGTGTTCAGGACCACAAGGCAAGACTGCCTCAGTTGACAAAACCATCTCTCTTTGATACTTCACTCTCCTGTGTCCCCTCTAATGGCAAAATCCTTTTCAAAGCAGGTGGCCCATGTGTCTCGTCCCTGGGGTTATACTGGAGAAATTAGGCACCAGCACTGCAGGGGCGCCCACCACAAGCCCCTCCCTGCCATGCATTAGCCCTGCCCAGGGATTACTTCCTGTAGCACGAGGTCTGGGGTCCTGGGGGACACTTGGGAGGCCTTGTGGTAGTGGCATCCTGCCAGGCCACCCCCACTTGCCAGAGCAGAAATGTTTCAATGTTTATCAGTATTGAGCTGTCAGCCTTGCTCATTTCCTCCTTATAGATGAGGGGACTGAAGCTCTGAAATGGACAAAGCTAGTCCAGGTCACACACTGATCTTTGGTTGATCTGAAACCCTAAGACTGTCTGACCCTAGGGCCCGTGACCTGGAACTGCTCTGGGCCTTTCTAGCACAATGAAGGGAGGCCCTCCATGGAGGTACCTGGGATCTGGTATGCAGCTGAGGACTATGGGGTGCTGGGCTGGGGGACATGGAGGTGGGGGCATGGGAGCACCTGTAGTCAAAGTCCCCATCCTTGCCATCCAGGAAGCGCTGGTGCATCCGGCTAGTGAACTCTTCCCGCAGGATCAGCCTCTCTTCTGAGTCGGGAACCCAGGCCTCCGAGTCTTTGCCAGGGCTCTGGTCTGTAGGGGGTGACACCCACGGTAGGTGGGGAGTGAGAGGTACACTCAGGCAGGCACTAAACACAGTCCACAGACAGCTGCTTCCTTTGTGCTGGGTGGCACTGGGAACATAGCAGTGACAAAGATGTCCCCGGTCCCTGTCCTCCCGGAGCACACACCAAACCCATGACAATCCAGTGCTCTGGGGGCTGCAGAACACGGTGAGGACTGGACGCCTGAGGGCTGGTGAAGAGAAGGCATTCCGGCAGAGGGAACAGCATGAGCAAAGGCCTGGAGGCAAGGTGCTGTTGGGTGCCTTGGGGGGGTGGGGACCCAGATGCTGGAGAGGTTGGGAAGGGTCAGGGCACACAGGGCACTCGGGCCGGGCAGGGAAGGGACTCGATGTCTGCTCTTGCAGGTGTGGCCCAGCCTGGTGCCATGGAATGGGGAGACACGCAGGCCCAGCGTTGAGGAATCTGGACACTGGGGCCTCCCTGCTGCCGGCCCTCACCTTCCTCATCACTGTCCTCTTCCTCTTCCTCCTCCTCCAGACAGGCCTCCTCCTCCTCCTGCTGCTGGAGCAGCCGCTGCTGCAGCTCCCGCTCCTGGTAGGACTGGAGCAGCAGGTCGGAGAGCGGGCAGGCGGGCGTGCCAGGGGAGCCGGGCTTGGGTGGCTGGTGGGCTGGCGTGCGGGCGCTGAGCTCCTCCTGTGTTAGGTACTGCCCGATGTACTGCTCGTACAGCAGCGGGGCCCGGAACCGCATCTGCTCATCACTGAAGTACTCACCCTCTGCACAGAGGAGACAGGGTGTGCGTGGGGTCAGGGGCCTGTGGGTGAGGCCAGGGGCTGCGTGTAGGGTGAGTGGGTCTGAGCAGACATGTCCGTGTGTATGTGATCATGCTCATAGGAAGACATGAATGCACAAGTGTGCGTGTGTGCACACATTCAAATATGCAGGAAACTATGCACAGATACTTGAGGTCGTGTGGCCACCAGTACTCACACATGCATCTGAGCATGTGTGCATGACCAGGCCTGCATCTGTACGTGTACTCATGTGTCTAAGCATGTGTACACACAGTCAGGCCCATGTACATCCTGGCCCGTGAGGCACTGGCGGCCTGGGGCCTGTGGACCACTGTGCCCGGGCAGGGTTCACAAGCTCCTGTGCATTGGTGTGTATGCATGGCCGCACAAGGACACACATCCTCTCATGTGTCTCAACACACTGCCACGGGTACCTGTGTGTCTGGAGATGGTGTGCAGGACGTTGCAGGTAGGTGTACTATGCAGTCTGTGGGCTGTGTGTGCCTGTCTGTTGAGCCCCATTCTGCTGTTGGTACACACACCTGGAGAGCCCCGCACTGCTGGCACGTGAGTGTACATCTGCGTGGAGCTGGCATGAGTGTGCTCGGGATCAGGTAAGGCAGGGCCTCTGCCCAGGTGTGTTGTTCCCGGTGGTCTTCCAGACCCAAGATCTCACCTCTCCCTAGTGTTGCTCCCTACAGCCACTCCTTGGGTGGGCCTGGCTTCCCCATGCCCCCAAATCCAGGTCCTTCACATCTTTTCTGGATGCCTGTTCCTTCAGGGCAGGCTCTGTCTCTCAGATAACAGTTAAACCAGTTCTGGCCCCTCCCACCAGCTGGTCCTAGCCCCGCCCTCAGAGCCCAGGGCTGGAATGTCTCTGGAATCCTGGCTTCTGGAGCCCCAGTATGCTACTGTCCCTGTCCCACCCTCCATCTTGCCCTCTTACCCACAACTCTGTTTCTGGTGTTTCCCACCAGATTTGTTTTTCTCCTTCCTTCTCTCTGGCTCTGTCACCCCCTCTCTGTGGGTCTCAATTTCTCCCTCTTCTCCTATTTCTCTGTCTCTCCTGCTTTCTCAGTTTCTGTCACCCAACTCCCCTCGTTCATTCTCCCTCCTGTCTTCATTTTGATCCCGTCTGTCGCTGTGTTCCACTCTTTCTGTTTCCCTCTCTCTCTAAGCCCATGCCTTCTCCCTAACTAGAAACTTAACTCACGCTGCTTTAATTGCTCTCATCTTTTTTTTTTTAAATTGGGGAACAGTGTGTTTTTCCAGGACCCATCAGCTCCAAGTCAAGTAGTTGTCTGTAATCTATTGGGTTGTCGGGAAAGTCATGACGTATTTTTTCTATGTTTTTTGTTGCAAAAATGTGTCATGACTTTCCCGACAACCTAACAGTTGTGGAGGGCACATCTCAGTGGCCCATGTGGGGATTGAAACGGCAGCCTTGGTGTTATGAGCACTGCGCTCTAACCACCTGAGCTAACCGGCTGCCCCTGCTCTCATCTTTTAACTGTAGTTCTGGGTGTCTTTGGTCATAAAGACGCTTGTCATTATGTCACACTTAAGAAGGTATCGATGTTTTCCTTTATGCTCTTCCCATATGTGTCTTGTGCAAGAGGGCCTTTGCGGCCCCAGGGTCATAAACACGGTCCCCTAGGTTTCCGGCAGTGCCTGTGTCTGGTGTGAAGGAGGGATCTAGTTTTCCCGAGGGATAACCAGTTATCACAGTGGTGGGTACTGTGTCTTCAGCCCATCGATCTGAAATGGCACTTTTATCATCTCCTAAATTCTGACCTTCCCATTGCCTTTCCCATTCTCTTCCCCTGGGTCCCTGTTTGTCTCTACCTATCTTGCCCTGTCACCTCACATTTCTGTCTCCACTTATCTTCCAGGATCTCTGTGTTTCTGCTCTTGAATTCCTGTTTCCGACCTCCCCTGCCTCATTCATTCCCCCCACCGCCAGCCCATTGCTCCGCACCTTGGATGAGCTCACGCAGGGCAGCGTAGCGCCGGTTACGCAGGCGTGTGTGCAGGGTGCGGGGCCGGGCAGCGCCCTGCCGGGCCACCTCAGCACAGTAGAAGTCTGCACGGTGGTCACCGCGCAAGTGGCCAAAGCAGGCTAGGTGCTCCTCACGGAGGCTGGTGCGAAAGCGCTCCAAGAATACCAGTGGCTTTTCGTGGTACAGCTGGCCCAGGATGGCCACCTTCTCCTGCTCAGTCAGGTCGGGCTCGCCCTGCTGTTGGCTGCATACAGGCAGGCGACTGGCAGCCACGGCACGCAGCATAGCACTCACCGCCTCAGTCTCGTTCTTGGCCCCAGGAGGGTTGTTGTCCAGGGCCCTTGGCACTCTCTCTGCTGCTTCCACCTTGTCCAGGGGTTTGGTTGGGACCGTTGTCCAGTTCAGTTCCCCCCAGTGCCCAGGACTGGGCTCCGTGCAGACTGTGGGGAGAGGGCAGATTTGTTAATCCCACGATGGGAGTGCGGAAGAGGGAGTAGGTGGAGGGGTCTGGATGCTCAATTCCTCAATCACTTCACATTTATTGAGCACCTACTATATTCTGGGCACTGCGCTAGGCCCTAGCACAGTAAGCAAGAAGTTGACATTTTCGTGGGGACACAGACAATTAAAAACAACTACTGAAAACCTATGGTGTGTTAGGAAGCATACAGTGTGTTAGGTAGTTCCAAGAGCTATGCAGGAAAGTACAGAGGGAAGGAGGAGGGAACGAGGGAAGGGGCTGCAATTTCAAGACAGAGGCCTTGCCCAAAAAGTGACATTTCAGTAGAGATCTGGCATGATGAGGGACTGAGCCATAAGATTTCTGGGGGTAAAGAGTTCCAGGCAGAGGGAACAGCCAGTGCAAAGGTCCTGAGGCAGGAGTGTGCTAGGTGTGTTCACTTTACCACATTGGTGAGTGTTTTTACCACCTCCTTTATTGATTCCCTCAAATTTCTACCTTTTCATTTGTTCACAAAACCATTAATACATTGACTCACTTGTTCGCTCACTCATTCATTCATTTTCTCCTACTCATTTACAATTCATCCAACCACTCTTCAGCAACTCTAAATCTATGCAAGGCCCTGAGCCTGGCAATGCTGAAAAGCCACGGGTGGAATCCAATCCAGCTCCTACTTTCGGGGAGCACCCAGCTGATGGGGGAGACAGGCAAGGTCAAAGAAAATACAGGCACTGGAAACAGGAAAGCTGAGTGCTAGGCAAACCTTGGTGACAGCTGCTTCTCAAAAGTGGTGGGAACTGGAGTCAGGCTGCAGCAAGCAAGACAGAAAGTATAGATAACTCCTTTAGGTAGCTTGGCTGGGATAGGGAAGAACAAGGGGGTGATGGTTACAGGTGCATGGGTTTCAGGGAGGGTTTTAATTACTGGCAAGAGAAGACTGAGATGGGTAGGGGCTGTGGAGGAGGGGATAGCAAGGGTGGTGGTTAGAAAGATGCTCGGGAGGCCAAGTAGACAAGCCATGGAGCTGGAGGGCTCAGAGGTAAGGGAGACATCCAGTTAAGATCCAGGGCTCTGACCCGGGGACTTGTCAAACTGAAACAGAGACATGGATGAGGAGCAGGTTTGGAGGAAGATGCTGAGGTCAGTTTGGGACATGGAAGATATGATGGGCACAGGGGACATCCAAGGGGAGGCATCTAAGAGACCACTGGTACATGGGAGTAGAGACTTCTCAGGGGAGAAGTGCAGGACTGGGGACAGAGACAAGAAAAGAACTAAAGGTGAAGGACATGAGGGGTCATGGGGAGGTCAGGGGTATGTGTGTGAGGGATGAGAAGAGATACTTGTGAAAGGCTAAAAAATGGCCCCTCAAAAGATAGTCATGTCTTACTTCCTGGAACTTGCCAATGTCATCTTATATAGCCAACAACAACAAAAGGGTCTTTGTAAATGTGATTAAGTTAAGGACCTCAAGACTGGGAGATTATCTTGCATTATCTGGGTAGGACATAAATACCATCACAAGTATCCTATAAAAGAGAGCCCAAGATTTGACACAGAAGAGATGGCAATGTAAAGATGGACGAAAGCAGAGATTGGAGTGATGTGGCCACAATCCTTGGAATGCCAGGAGCCTCCAGAGGTGGAAGAGGCAAGGACTGGGTTTTTCCCTAGAGCGTCTGAGGGAGCCCTGCAAAGTCCTGCAGACACCTAGATTTCAGCCCAGTAATACTGGTTTCAGACTTCTGGCCTCAAGAATTGTGAGGGAATAAATTTCTGTTGTTTTACGCCACCCAGTTTGTGGTAATTTGCTGCAGCAGCCCTAGGAATGAACAGAGGGGATGAACAGGAGGAGCCCGAGACGAAGAAAATCAGAAAGGGGTGTCACAGAAACCAAAGGAAAACCTTCAAGAAGGATGGAGGGGTCCACAGCATTGAATACTCCAAGTCGTTTAGCAAGAAAAAAACCTGAAAGGAGTGACTCAGTTTAACTACACCGGGAGGTCATTGGAGGCCCTAATCAGAGCAGTTTCTGACAGTAAAAGCCAGGCGGCAGTGGGTGGGAGGTGACAAATATGAGTGACTCTTTGGAGAAAATGGATGGTTTCTGGAGGGCAGCATGGAGTCAAGGAATAGATTTTTTTTTTAGGTTAAAAGATTTTTATTATGGAAAATTTCAAACATGCACAAAAGTAGAGTACAACCCCATGCCCCCAATATATCCAACATCTGGCTTCAACAATGACCGATTCTCCCAACCACACCTGAAGCAGTGGGATGGAATCTTAGGATGAGCAAAACAAAAGCATGTAAGATACTGATGGGAAGACATCAGTATGAATTGAGATTGGAAATGCAAAGGAAAGAAATGGGGAGCACAAAAATGGATTAAGGACCCGGAGGAGGCAGATGGGACTGTGAACTCTGGGCTAAGGGGAGTCAGTTTGACAAAAAGGAGGTAATTTGAGAAGCACAGTTGGCTGGGACAATGGGAGAGGTTTATGTTAACCTTCTCAGGTTAGCCTGGTAAGGAATTGGGTTAGCTTGGGACATGGAAAAGGCTGGCCTGGAACTTGGAAGAAGTTAATTTCGGGGGAGGGGATGGGGTGAAGGAGGTTAATTTTGACAAAGTGGTGAAGGGGACAGGTAAGGCCCAGCACAGGTGTCCTCCTATAGAGTTCTCCTTCGCGTTCACGGGGAATCATTTCCCAGTGACACGGCAGTCCCACCCTCCCGCCGCATCCGCGTGGCCAGGGCCTCACCTTCATCAGGTTCCCTCACCGCCGCCGCGGTCGCCACGGGCTCCATCCAGACTTTCTATGATTTGTTAAACCGCCGTAGCAGGGTTTCTAAACCCGTCTACAGGTTTCTCAGCAGCAACTTCCGGCTGAGCACACTTCCGGGACCCCGTGCTCCGCCGCGCCCAGAACCAAAGTTCCGGGCCGAAGACGGACCTCCCTATGCGCATGCGTGCCTCATCTGGTCCCGCCCTCCGGAGCCAGGAAGGAATAGGGGGCCAGGGTCTGAGGCCCTTCCGCCCGACGCCCATCTGAACTGCTACGAATTTGAAATATCAGGAGGTATCTGAACCATTGTACAACTTGTTCACTGCTGTGACTCCAGAGCCCGGCATGATTGATTTTAGGATGGATGGTTGAATGAGGTACACTCTAGGGACTCAAAGGGTTTGTGCTCTAGTTTAGTCCCGTCTATCCCCTTATTTCTTCAGCACTTCAGAGTATTATTTACTAAGCCTTGCCTCTTTCTTCTGTCTTCATACCCGGTTCCTGGCTCACGATATGGTTGGTGAGGACCTAGAGAATCTGGAGATGTGGAGGGAGAACACCGTGGCCCTGCTTTGCCCCTAGGTGATGGGTAGGAACTCAGGTGTGTTACCAAGAATAGACGACATCAGTGACCACCCTGAGTGCCCAGGGCTCTGATGGACTGAGAGGGCTAAGGGAGCTGCAGCTCCAACCCGGAGGGTCAGGGAAGGCTTTTTTTGGGAGGCGGGGATGCCCAATTCATCCTGACGGGTATGAACTAGGATAAGGGTCTCAGGCAGGGGAATGTGCGAGGCAAAGACCCAGAAGGGCGGGCAGGCATGGATAGTTCTGCTTGCTGCAAGGACTTCAGTGTATGGCCAGGGAATAGAAAGAGTTCTAAGTTGAAGGTCATAATTGGGCTGTAGAGGATTTGAGAACCTCGTACATCTTTATGCAAATTCCATGTATATGTGGATATAATTCATGGCAGTTAGATTGTACAGGGGACTTGTTACTTCCCCAGAACAAACCACGGATCTTAAGTTCAAAGGGGTAGCAGCAAAAGACGAAGCTAGTGAGGTCATCAGGGGCCAGGCATGCGGCTGCCCCCATATGCCGTATTAAGTAGCTTTAACTCCTTTATATTCTGTGGGGATCTGGCAGGTGGTGTTGGGGTAAGGGACTGGAAATAAGGGATCTGGAGGGAAGTGGGCCCATTCGCCACATAGGCAAGGCAGGGACTATATCACCAGGAGAGGCCAGCAGAGGGCGCTGTTGCCCCAACACAGGGACCTGTCCGGAAAGGGACTTCCCAGACTGGAGGCCTTCCTTCCCTGCCCACTCTTCCTGAGCAGGGAGGGTGGCCTCTGGGGTCCCTTTTAGCCCAACTAGCCAACCGTGGCTCCATCTCACACGTATATAGATGTTGCACCTCTGAGCTTAAAGACCGACTGGTCTTCCTCTTTTTTGTAGCCTGTGTCCCCTTCACAAAGCTCCAAAATACTTCCTGTGAGGGAAGGGATGAGACTGAACTGGCCATTCCTGTGCCCCAGCATTGTCCCTCCAAGGGAAGGGAGATGATAGGCTGTGGGGATGCAATCAGAAAAGTCCTTTACCCTAGGCTATTTTCTAAAATGTTCCCTTCTCTAGAAAGCCCTCACCTCACCTCACCACACCACCTCAGGCTCTCACAGCTGAGACTTGGTGCTGTCACCATTTGATGACAGGTATGTTACTTTTGGACTCGGAGCCCTGTGAGGATAGGGTCCAGGACTACCTTGGCCACGCTGTGTCCTCAGTGTTGTCCAGACTGTGTGAGGAACAGAGCAAGTACCTAAACTGTCTAGATAAAGAAGCTCCTGGAATCTCCACTAGACTGTACCCAGGAGCGCAGGCAGGAACCATCCTAAGTCTAGCTCACAGGCAAGACATGAAGTAGATGAAGTCACACCCAGTGATGACCCCCAACAGTCCGGCCCTGGTTTCCATCCCATCAACCCTGTGTCGCCCTCCACCTAGGGACCTGGTTCCATGCTGTCTACTCACAAATCCTCTATTCCTGTAGAGATTTGGGGCTGTGAGTGGACTGGAAAGGTCAGGGACCAGAGAACTTTAAAACTGAACTAGTGGGTTTTAAACTGAGGGCCCCAGGTTTAAGGGGGGCATCCCCAGCACCAAAAACGGGGTCAGGCACACAAATCCCTCAAAAAGTGTTTAATGAATGAGTAAATAATTTCCCCTTGGAAAGGCCCCACCCCAATTAAAGGCCACTGCAGTAACACTTCAGAGTTTTAACCCCGCTTCCTTCCTGCTAGGAGGTGCCATGCCATTTATTGAAAGAAAACAAAATAAAACAGGGAAAACACATTTCTTAATAAGTGCAGTTTGTTAAAATCCTGTTAAAACATATGGGTCAAGGGGAAGTAAAAATAATCAGAGGATCACTGTAGGAAAAACCTTTAGGTCTGGCACCGGGGAGACCTCTGGAGAGGAAGTAGTGGGAGTTCTGAAGGGAAGGAGCCCCCCACCTCCCCTTTTCCCCTCTTGCCCACTTCATCCCACCAGAAACTACCAAGACGCCCGGAATAAAAGGTTTCAAGTTCAATAGTCACACTCTCTCCAAATACAAAAAGCAGTTACAATTCAACTCAACACAGAAGCTTGTGTGCAAAGTTATGGGAAACTGAGACATCGTATAAAAAGTTAGGTTAAAGATGATTCTGTGGTTTTGTTTTTTGTTTTGTTTTGAGGGTGTGGCTCTTCCTTGGTTGCCTGAATTCAGCAAAGAAATGGTTATCCCAATGAAATATCAACAGCTGACCCACAGTAAAAACTGACAAATTCTAAAAATTAAAAAAAAGCATAATTACAAAAAAAAATCTGTCACTGCTTCCTCCCTCCACATGTTGCTTTTTAAACTTTTTTAAAAAAAGTTTTTGATTTTTTTTTTTTTAATCCTGAAAAGTAGACAGTAAAACAGCTCCTGGAAGAATTTACAACCAACTGCATGAGGGTCTGGGAAGCCGAGGGGCTGGAGCAGGGCTGGGATGAGTGGACAGGAAGGGGTCCTCCCCTCAGCCTCACTCTATGACCAAGGGAAAGGGGGAGTCTTTAGTCAAAAAGGAGGAAGGGAAGAGGAGGAAAAGGAGAAGGGGGAGAGAGGAGGTGGGGAAAGAAACAGAAAGTAAAAGGTTATTGTTGCCTGTTTGAATCCAGAGAAAAATGCCCAGCCCTGTGTGGGGGAAGCAGCCCCTCAGAGGGGAGGCAGCCCTGGGATGACCCATTCCCCAGCACCACGGGACCCGGTGGGGGCAGATGAGGGGCCAAGGTGGACGCTGGTGGAGGAAGCCAGCAGGGGCCTCCGGGGCACACTGGCTACTGAGTGCTCGTGCCCCCCTGTGTGTTCCCGGTGTAGCTCCCGTAGTCGTAGTTCCCGTAGTACGGCGGCCACTGGCCCTGGTTCTGATAGTACTGGTTCCACTGCTGGGCATACTGGGGAGAAACCAAGAGCACCAAGTTGACCTTCATCTAGACCCTCATTTGGCTCCTCTCCTCGTCCTATTCTCACCCAGGGTAGAGATGGGTACAGGGACAAGTGCCAACACGGGTCCCCTGACAGAGAAATGAAGGCACCTAGGTTTGACAAATGACTGACCTAATACCACATGGGTTGGCAGTTAGGGAATGAAGCCCAGGTCTCCTGGCTTGCTAACCTAATGCCATTTCAGGTATAGCTAGATACCACATTCAAAATACTAAATCACAGATATGGCAACCTAGAGCCAACCCATCAGAATGGTCACTGGCCATGGTGCTGAAGCAGGACCTGGAGGCCACTGCTACAGCCTTTCTTTGCTGCACTGGGGAGAGGGGCTAGGATACTGGCTGTTTAGCAGCCAGTGCAGAAGTGTTCACCAAATGGAATGGCTCTATCAGATGAACGCCAGTCTGGGGCCAGCAGGATGCCTGTCTTCTCGGGGATAAGCAGGGATTCAAGTCTGGGGATACACATCCACGTGGAGCTCCTGGAAGTCTCTCCATTCCATTGCCCCCAGCCCTCACACCCCTCCCGGCACTTACCTGCTGATACTGGTTATAGCTCGGCTGAGGGTAGGTCTGTGCGGTGGGGGGCGGTGGTGGGGTGTAGGGTGCTGGGGTGTAGCCACCGTAGCTCCCATAGTTGTAGGCAGGTGGAGGTGGCGGTGGAGGTGGTGGGGCTGTATAGCCCTGGCTGTAACCTCCCTGGTTGTAGGGTGGCTGGCTGTAACTCGGCTGGAAAGTGGGGGAAAAAACCAAGGCTCTGTGAAATAGCCAGCTCAGCTGGGATGGAGGAAGAGCCTTCGTAAGTAGTGGGCCCACAAAAGAACTTCCCGGGTGGAGGCTGTCTGAGGGTTGAGGGGTAGGTGGGTCAGCTCTGTGACATGGCAGGACAGGGTAGGATGTAGGGCTGTGTTCTGGACTCGAATCCCAGCTCTGAGATCCTGGGGGAGCAAGGCACACAGCACTTCTTGAAATCTCAGGTGGTTTGTTTTTTGTTTTTTTTCCCGTTCTTCCTGTAAAATGAGAATTACAACAGAACTACCCTTTCGATTGCCCTGTATATTCAATCAGCTGTGTGCAAAAACTATTGGGCACACAGTAAATGGTAGTAGTCATTACAGGAAGAGCTGCTGAGAAAAACAGTAGTGGCAATTTCCTAAGTGCTTCCCACATCCAGGTTGTATCATTAACTCATCTAATCCCCCCACCAGCTCTGTGAGGTAGGTTCTATTAGCCTCATTTTATAGATTAGGAAGATGGGGCTCAGGTAGGTGAAATCACTGGGCTCAAGTCACACAGCTAAAGTGGCAGAGCTGGGACTTGCCCCTAGGTCAGCCTAGTTCTAGAGCCTTAACCATGAAGTTGTAACGCCTTCCCCCAGCCTTCACAACAAAACTTGCATGTGAGTTCTACTAACAATTCTCATCCTTATGAGGAAAATGAGGTCCAGAGAGGTGAGGTTGTCTGACCAAGATCACAAAATCAGGGTGTTACAGGGCTGGGACTTGAATGTGTGCCTGCCCAACTCCTCTTCTAGGAAATATTCTGGTTAGACCAGGACTGGGAACCATTCTTCTGTCTCCTGGCAGCTGTTCCCAGGCCTGGCATGTGGAAGGTGTTCAGGAAACGCTGCACAATAAATGGAGACTGCTCTGGTTGACAGGGGCCTGTGCATTCCAGAGCCGGAGTACTGGCTTTCTGGGAACTAGAACTGAGCCTGGAGCTGCTCAGTTCGGGACAGAGGACAAGTCCTCACCAACCTCAGGGCTTGTCTCCACATCCTGAAGACAAGGGGGTCAGACCCTTCTGGCCTGGGCAAGGGGTAACTTCAGTCAAGTGCTTCTTTGGGCATTCAGTGAGCCAGTGACACAGCCAAGAGAAATGTACTTGCTGGAGGGACCAACGCTTACAGATTGCCCCCTAAGAGTATGGCAGGGACCTGGGGATAGCTAGGGTCCCTCCCTGCCAAAAGCACTGCTCAGGAGAAAGGGGCAGGGCTGGAGGTAGGAGTGGAGACCTGTGGCTGAAGTAGGTGTTGGTGTTTCCGGGCCCTACCCCCTCTCACCTGTGGAGGGCTGTAGCTGCTGACGGCGGGGGTGCTGGTGCTGGCGCTGGCGCCAGGGATGTTGCTGTTCTTGCTATAGCTGCCGGGCCCCGGTGGGTTCCGAGCAGGGCTGTAGCTGGGCGGCGGCGGCGGCTGCTGCGGTGGCGGCTGTGGCGGTGGCGGCTGCTGTGGGGGTGGCTGCTGCTGGGGAGCGCGGCTATAGCTGCCTCGGTTGTTGGAGTTGTTATCCCGGCTGTTGTTACCCCAGCGGTTCTGGTTGTAGCCACCACCTCCACTGCGGTTGAAACCTGCAGTGGAAAAACCAGACAAGAGACCTAACATTCTCAACTTGGGACCCTCAGGAGCTGGGCGGTCTTGGTGACTGCTGTGGCCCCAGCGTGACCAGGCAGAGTAGGAGCTCAGTCATGTGAACAAACAAAGCACCCCCTGTGGGCTTCCCAGACTGCTGTGCGCACTCCCCCATGCATAACACTCGGTCATCACCATCTGCTGACAGGTTTGTCTTGCTCACGGGACTATGAGCCTGGGACCGAGGCTATCTTGGTTTCTACTATGTCCCCAGCATCTTGATAGCTGCTGAACAAATTGGAAGAGATGTTCTGGAAGAGGGGATGCCAAGCACTGGAGACAGAACCTTTCAGGCTTGGTCAAACCAAGAGGCCTTTCCTCAGTCCTTATGCAGTTGTTTCTTGGGCCTGGAAGCCTTTCCCCATTCCAACTCCTACTGGCCCCTGGACCTTGGCTTAGATATCAGTACCTCAGGCGGCCTTTCCTGAGCCCTGCTCCCCGACAGGTTAGCTCAGGTGTCACCCAAGTTCACGGTACCCCTGGGTAAGTAAGCCCACAATAAGTAAGCCCACAATCCTTCTGGACTGTCATTACAGGAATTATCCAGCACAAGACTAAAACACAATAGGGCATGCTTGTTAAGTCAGATCATACACTTTACTGCAAAGACAGCAGAACTTAGTGACTAAGAACTTGGGCTTTGGGTCACTTGATCCCAGCTCTAGATTTAGCTGGGCAAAGTCTGGGTAAATTTACCTCTCTAAGCCCCTTTCTGCATTTGCTTTAAAATCAAAAATCAAAACAGTCCTAACATTTGTCTTGTACCAGTCCTGAGCTGGGACCCAGAACTGGCAGTAAACTCGGTCTGGCCCCTCTTCTCAAGGAGCTTATGGTCAGATGGGGAGAAGATTCACAAAAATGACAGCAATGTGACATACAAATGGGCAAGGGCTTCAGGAGCAGTGCCCAGCGGGAGCAGGGCAGTTGGGATTGGTTCCCTGAGGCCCCAGAGCCTGACTCATCGTGATTCTCTCCCAGAGTTCGGCCCGGGGCTGCTGCTAGGAAACCTTCACCTGCTGACCGAACAAGCAGTCACAAAGCCCAATGCTGACCAGGGAACCAGAAGTGAGGAGAACTGTGCGAGACAACTCACCTCCTCGGTAGCTGCCTCCTCCACCGGTGCCTCCCCCTCGGTTCTGGAAGCCTCCTCGGTTGCCCCCAGGGGGGCCTCGGTTGTCATAGCGTTGGAAACTGCCACCACCACCGCGGCCCCGGAAGCCACCGCCGCCTCGGTTATCAAAGCGCTT